CGCAAACCGAAGCAAAATTTTGCGGCCAGAGCTGGTCGTAACCCGAAAAGTTCATTAACAGAAGTGTTCGTAACCCGAGGTTCCACTGTAGTCACTTATGTAAGGAGTAAGGAGGAATGATTGTCTTTAAAAGATATTTCAGTGAATCTGGTGTCTTCAGATTTGTTACATTACAGCTTACATTATTCCTAACAGTATGGGCACTGAAGTTAATCTGGTACATGGGGGGGGGGTTACCAAGTGGATTTTCTTTCAAGTTTATTCAGAAATTGTTGATATTTTAAAGTGCATTTTTGCTTGTATAATATAAACAATACATTTTACATTTTCATACCATATTAACACTATAGAGAGGGTACCTCCAAGGATAGAAAGTTGGCTAGCACTAACCCTGTATCCCTGTTCTCTAATATACAAAATTACATAGTGAGACCTGAGAATCTTGCTAATCTGTGGTTTATGTATGCCCTACATATATGAGAATGTAAAAGACCTTTATAATTATATATGCATCTACCTGGTGGAATATCATCTAAATTTAGACTAGAAGACTGTGATATGTAAACTGGCTCCAGAGCATATTCAGAGTCAAAACCAAAAATATATGCACAACAAAAATTCTTCTCCTGATCAAACTCAAAAGTGAAATATATTTTACAGTATTTTTAAATTTGCTGGTATCAGATCTAAGCTCACTCTTAACCTGAGGTTTCATTTAGTATGTTTGTGTAATACTTATTGATAGTCATATTCTCCGTATATTTGACCATTTTTTATTTTGAATTTGACTTTATACATAAGGCAAAAGTGGGAATATGATGCTTCCTGCAGAGTTGAGTGTAGAATAATAAACTAACCTTTTCCCTACCTTTCTGCTTGTTAGATCTGTGGAGAAGTGAGAGGTTGTTGGTACCAAAGATAATTATTGGATTGTGTCAAAATTTGTGAAGCATTTAATAGATGGTATGTTCAGGAATCCAGTGAGCTTATATAAATTTAGTTGTTCATCTGAACTACCAGAATGTATACCATTCTCTGTTTCAGATTACTTTTCTCTGTCTATTGAGCAAAGGGCAAAAAAAATATTGAGTACATATTGTAAAGCTTGGCCTAATATCTGCTTATTTGGGAGTAAGTCCCACTGAAACTCAGGGGGCCCACTTCTGCTGGTGTTTGGATTTAGTTTCTGGAAGAGCCAGTTATACTGAGAGACATATGTCCCTCTCTGCCATAACATTTCTGCTGCCTTTATTTTCATTGTTTTAAAAACCCTTCTGAATGATCTCTTTTTCCTTGAACTACCATTTCCACAAACCACATCAACCCTGCTGCCTTATTTGTGGTGATAGCAGTCATATACTGCTTGCCTTGCAGCATTTTTCAGCAGGTGGAAATGTTATGCAGAGAGGTTTCTATGTATCTATGTCTACTCAGCAAGAGTTAGTGTATTTGTCTCGCAAGGAGTATTTTTGCCCATGTGCTCTTCCTGTTAAGTATGCAATTTGTATGGGTTAATTAATAGAATAAAACTTGACTGCCTGAAATTGTTCTTTCCCTTCTCTTTCTTTGTTATGCTCGGCATCATTGCTATGTCTGATAAAAAATAATCTTAAAAATAAGCTCATACATATTGTTAGAATAATAAAGCATACTTTACATGAGGCTACTTTTGAGGATCACTTGGAAATTACTTTTGATGACTAATTGATTACAAAAGAAAGTCACTTTATTGCTTGTATGCATTGCATTCCTCAGATAACCAGGTAAAGAATCATAAAGGGCTTAAAGGTGGCAATCAGCACCTTAAATGACATCCAAAAGTCAACTAGTAACAAATGTAGCTCCCAAAGAGGTCATCTGAGTATATTGAGATACTGCCTGGGCCACCACATCCTGCACTAGCTGTAGCTTCCAGATGTTCTTCAAGGACAGCCTTATATAGAGTGTCTTACAGCAGTCCAAATGTTGTAATATTACCTGAGGCTTTTTAAAATTTGGCAGCTTTTTTACTATTTGGGGGGAGAAGAATTTTTAAGTATCATGCTGCTTATTAAATATAGCTGATGTTTACCTGAAACTTAATGTACCTATTTTGTTTTGTTTTCCTTGCCAACCGTTGTGCTAACTTGATATAATTTTTAGAACCTCCAGAAATAGCAAGAAGAATAGTTAGTTCTTTCTCATACAGAAAAAAAATTGCAGTGTATTTCCTTGTTCAATAATGGTTCTTTCATTCTTTTTCACATTCTCTGTTGACCCAGCACTTGACTTCTTTTAGCTCTTTCTAGCCTAGTTTTAGAAAAAAATAAAAAAATGTATACACCTTGGGTATTTTGCTTTGTTCTCTGTATTTCTGTATCCCCATATCCTACAAGCTACTTAAGATCAAATAACAAGTAGCGCATTGTTGGAATGAAATTAGGGAATATTTTATTCACTCTTACGGTAAATATATACTGGAAAATTTAAGTAGTTCACAATTTCAGACCATTGTTATATCTTGATTTGTGTGTGTGTGTGTGTGTGGTGGTGGTGCTTCAAAGTTTGTGAACCCTTTTGAATTTTCAATATTTCTGCATAAATATGACCTAAAAATGTAATCTGTTTCCACACAAGTCCTAAAACTAGATAGGCAACCCAGTTAAATAAATGAGTCAAAAACATTATACTTGTTCACTGATTTATTGAGAAAAATGATACAAAGCTATATATATATGTGGCAATAGTATGTGAACCTTTGCTTTCAGTAACTGGTGTGTCCCCCTTGGGCAGCAATAACTGCAACGAAACATTTCTGATAACTGTTGATCAGTCCTGCACATCAGCTTGGAGGAATTTTAGCCTATTCCTCCTTACAAAATAGCTTCAAGTCAGGGGTGTTAATGGGCTTTCTTGCATAAACTTCAGGTCCTTCCACATTTCAATGGGATTAAGGTCAGGAGTGTGACTTGGCCATTCCAAAATATTAATTTGCTTTAACCATTTTTGGTGATATGACTTATGTGTTTTGGGTTGTTGTCTTGCTGCATGACCCACTCTCTCTTGAGCTTCAGTCCACGGACAGATAACCTGACATTTTCCTGTAGAATTTGTTAGTACAATTCAGAATTCATAGTTCTATCAATGATGGCAAGCCATCCTGGTCCAGAGGCAGCAAGCAGGCCCAAAACATGATATGTCACCACCACGTTTCACAGATGGGATAAGGTTCTTATCCTGGAATGCAGTGTTTACCTTTCACCAAACATAATACTTTTCATTCAAACCAAAAAGTTCTATTTTGGTCTCATCCATCCACAGAATGTTCTTCCAGTAGCCTTCTGGCTTATCCATGTGATCTTTTGCAACTGTAGATGGACAGCAGTGATCTTTTTGAGAGTAGTGGCTTTCTTCTTGCAACCTTGCCATGCACAGCATTGTTGTTCGGTGTTCTCATGAACAGTGACATTTGCCAATGCAAGAGAGGCCTTTAGTTCCTTAGACATTACCCTGGGATTCTTTGAGACATCCCGGAGTATTATACACCTTGCTCTTGGTGTGATCTTGGTTGGTTGACCTCTCCTGGGGAAGGTAACAGTGGTGTTGAATTGCCTCCATATGTACTGATCTGCCTGACAGTGGACAGATGGAGTCCAGCTCTCTGGAAATAGTTTTGTAAGCTTTTCCAGCCTGGTGAGCATCAATAACTGTTTTCAGAGGTCCTCAGAAATCTCCTTTCTTCGAGCCATGACACACTTCCACATACCTGTGTTGTCAAGGTCAGACTTTGACAGTGAATACCCAGAATTCTGTTCTTTAAATAAGGCAGGACCTCCCACACTCATAGCTGACTATCAGTCCATTGATTGAAATACCTGGCTCTAATTATGAAGTGATAATCCTAGAGGTTCACATACTTTTGCCATACACAAATATGTAACTTTGGATCATTTTTCTCAATAAATCAATGAACTATAATGTTTTTGACTCATTTGTTTAGTTGGGTTCTTCTTATCTAGTTTTAAGACTTGTGTGGAGAACAGTCACATTTTAGGTAGTTATGCAGAAATATGAAAATTCAAAAGGGCTCACAAACTTTGAAGCACCGTTGTATCTGACCGTTGTCTTGTTACAGTCCTGTTCCTCAAGGTTATTTCCTCTCCCCATTACGACTCTACCAGAGATTTCAGTAAATACTCTACCCGAACACTTTCTACTTCAACCATTGTCATTTAAGGGACTTTCCTTGTTTTTTTCCCAAGAACTTTAGGAAGTGGTAATATGAGGGGCTTTGCTTTTATATCATAGTTCCCCAAAAAGGATCCTTCCAGACCAGTTTTTGATCTCTGTGCCACACATTTTTTCTTCAGACTGAACTCCCACCCTAAATCTATCAAGGCCCTGTAAAATTGCACTGGGCATGTGCAGAATTCTCCTGTGTGATTGAATTGTTTGGATAAATATTCTGTGTTTACACAAATGTACAATGTACTTTTTAGAAATCTGCAAGAAAGATAAAAGATACCTTACCTTCTCTATATTCTAATCTCTTGGATTTTTATAAAGGAAAAATAGTGGTACATTATCCCCAACTTGTTTATTGAATTTTTCTAAATTTTTATAGCTGCTTTAGTGAAACTACCTTTGGTGAAGCCACTTTAATCTACATAGCCATATATTGCCTCCTTTAAAAATCCTTCCTCCCTTTCTTTTGAAAGAAATTTCAAGAAGTAATTATTGTGAATGTTTACCATTTGGTTGCATATTGCTCCTGTTAATGTTTAAAGTTAATCATTGTTCTGAAAACTTTATTTTGAATTTAAGGTTACAGGAAGTCAATACTGTACAGTAGTTGACTGCATGTAGTATTGCTGAGAATTATGCATATGATGTATTTTAAACTGAGAAATCAGTTTGTTTTCAAAATGAATGTTTCCAAGCAATATTGATATTTCAGATTCCATATACTGAAATGGAAACCTGATTTTTCATTAAGTTAGGATACTCACTGGTTACAGCCTGCCCCATGTTTTGTTTTCTCTGAGCATCTAAAACTCTTTTATATCATTGAAATCTAACTTTGGGTTATAAAAATACAATTAGCACACCAGTTATAAAGCTTTGAATTCTGGGCTGAGAAACAGACAATACAGTAATAAAAAAAATGAGCAACTCTAATAAGGATTACCAAATTCTAGGAACAGCAAGCACTAGGAAACTAGCCAAAATTAATTGCTAAAATTAGGCTTAGATGTAAAGAATAAAAATTGGTGAAATGGACAGTACCTTAAACAGGAAACCCAAAAAGAAGTTTGAGCACAAGATATGTCAGTATTACATTTTAGGTAGATAATTGTAAGAAAAAAAGTATGATGAGACTAATTAAACAAGAACTTTATCTTACCAGATTATCTTCCTTTTCAGATGTACTTTTTGTTTTTATCCTACTTAAAAAACAAACTAGGCTATGTTCACTATAATCTGTTAAGTTGTGTACTACCTTTGATTCTTGTGTTTGTGAGAATGATATTTCTAAAACTTGGTGTTTAAACAGAGAAAGGGAAATCTTAAATTGTGGACATTACATTAAATCATAATCTAAAATAATAATTTGGATTTGGAAGGGAAAAATGTGAAATGTCTTTCATTTGTACTTTTTTTTTCTAGATTACAGACAATATTTATGAAATTTGATGAAGTAAGAAACAGCGGCAGTATGATTTCAAGCAGTATCAGTGGTAAGTATCCATTGCTTTATGTTACTTTGGTGTTGAAAGTAGTCAATTTTAAATGAATATTTAAAATGAAAGAAGTTCTAGCACCTCTGTTTTAGCTTTAACTGTTTCTCACAAACATTAGATATTAATGAAGTTAATATAGTTGCAGAAATGTGTGTACTCTTTGAGTGGTGAGTGATCACATAAACTTTATTGCTAGTATTTCTGCATCTTTAATAAGACAATCTTTATAAGGTTCAGTAAACATATCAGAACTTCATTAGTTATTGATATCAAGTAGAAGATGATAGCCATTAGTGAGTTAGAATGATTAAATCCTTACTGGCTTTGCAGTACCTTTTCAGATTAAGGTCAGTTTTTGTCGATATTGATCACATTTATTCTGATAATTTATCTGATTTTATAGGTTTATGAATGTTTTTAAATTTTGTTCTTTATCGTTTATGCTGAATTTTCCATTTGATTTTATTATTTAGTTTATGGTCATTTGTGTTTCTTGGTGCTTCTGTTTTGCTTGTAATTTCTGAAGTATTTTCAAGGTAGAAGTGATATTTTTATTACATTTGTATAGGATATGTAGTGTAGTGTTTAAGTGTTTGGATTTGGACCCAAGAAGGCTCAGATTCAAATCCTTAGTCAGTGACAGAGCTCATGGAGGGTCTTTGTGCAAAGTCTTCAGTCTTCTCAATATAGTCCATAAAAAAAAAATTGTTATGGGATGAAACAGGGGGGACCCCAAGGATGCAGTTATGATTTCCCAGAGGAAGGGCAGGATATAAGTGCAACAAAAATATAAAAATAGGGTAGCACTATTTTCTCACTGTTTCAGAAAACTTTCTAACACTTTTTTGCACTTTGATCACCTTACCATAAATAGTTTATGAAAAACCTTGCTTCTAACAGCTTATTTATATCAAAGAAAGCACAAATTCCTTTTAAAAATTACAACTCACATGAGACTCAGTGATGCATTCTATGAGCATTTCTAGCACACCTTTAATCACAAAAGGTACCTGTATTTGTTTCTGTGGATGAGCATCATTTATCCTGCTTGTGATATATGAACCATTCAGGAAAACAAATTCTTGTATATATAAGACAAGACAAAATACTACATGTAACTTACATTATTGACTCAACATTTTCTTCAGACTGTAAGTATCATACAATTAATATTTCTGTCTTGATTACAGTATACAGTATCTTTATGGCATGGGAAAGCTCAGTTTTTGTTGCAGTTCTTTAAATAAATAACTATATAATAAATACATTGGTATTTCTGTTGCAAGTCTGTATAACTACCTTATTCATAGTCAGCCTCTTCAAGAGTTGTCTGTTGTGGCTTTTAACTGTTCCCAAGTCTCAAGCTTGTCAGTTGTTTTTCATTTGTAATCTTCACGGAAATTGATGTGCTCCTCGAAACAAGGTGTGTTAAGTTTCTCCTAGTTCATCCTAGCAGTTGACCAGCCATTTCCATGGAAACAGACATTGCAGACACACCAGAACTCATAGAATCTCTGTTCTTAGAATCTCAGTTCTGTAAGCACTGTTCCTTCTGCAGAATTTGTTTTAAATGTTAGAGAAAACCACTATGATTAAAAATAGTTTAAAATGTCATAATTTCCTGTTTTTCATAATAAACACCACCATAACTAGATTTTTTTGGCAGCACCTTGTTTGCTTTCAAATATATATTTTATAATCCAGGTTATATGAATGTTATCAAAGTTTTATTTCCAGACTTGGAACATAATATGAAACAGGACAGTCTTAACTTCTGTCATGCAAATATTAAACATACACAAATATGTGTTTGTACCATAGATATTTGTTACTTGCTTTGATTACACATAGCTTTGTTAGACTTCTTTTCCCCTTAGAAGTAATTATGTCTATGGAAATATCAGGAGACTTAGAAGCTTGTAAATTACTCAACTTCGTTGCCATCATTGCACTATGAAGGATATGCACAAATGCAAATGTCCACATAGCTATTAGATTACAATTACTAGGGTGGGATTAATAATATAATTAACCATGTACATTGATTTTAGCTGTAAATACAAAGCTGGCATGTTGAACCTTTTTTCCCAACATAAAACTGTTAAATGAAGTAAAAAGTAGTATTCACTGAGAGGTTGGGAGGGTGGGCTGGAGGGACTGTTAGACAGCATTTTTCAGTAATCTCAATTTGTTTTAATTTCTTTTGTTTCCCCTCCTTTTTCATATCTTAAGTTTATTTTTTATTTTAGGTTTATTTTTTCATATATTAGGTTTAAATAAACCTAAAATATGAAAGAGGAGGGGAAACAAAGGAAATAAAAACAAATTGAGATT